AGTTATAATATCTCATGCTCATTGAACATGCAGTGAACTTTTTAAAGCACATAACGTGCATTAACCTCCTTAACTTTTGCAATAATCTAATGAGGATTTTTTCCTATTTACAAGTGAGAATCTGAGGTTCAGAGGGGTTTAGGACTCTGTCCAGAATTACTAAGCTAGGAGACAGGAGAGCTGAGAACTGGATCCACGTTTAACCAGTCTGCACTGTTGCCTCTCAGCTCCGAGGCAGCAGAGCCTGGTGGGGAGAAGACCCACTCTAAAGCAAGGTGCATCACTTCTTATGAGCTGTGTAACCTTGGGCAAATTAGTTGCCTTCCTGGTGCTTCAGTTTGCTCATCTACAAAGTGGATGTTAATAATGGTAATCCAACCATATAGGGTTGTTATAAGGATCAGCACATTTAAAACAGTATCTGGCATATAATAGAAACTTTAAAAATATTAGTTAACATCATTATTTGTTAATATGATAAACCAAATCCCACTGCAACAAAACCTTCTGTATTATCGTTTTCTTAGTCACCCAAATGGTATTCCAAACCACAAAATTCCTATATGACCTAAGGATTTAACTTGCTGCACTAAAAGTGTGCTATAGAACTGATGACACTTACAAGCAATTTTAAATATCCTTACCTAAAATTACTCTTGAAAACGTACTTCAAATTTAATTCTAATACCGTACTTTCATACATTACTGTCATTAAGAGGGGTTCCAAATTGGTGTACATAGATTCCTAAAAAGCTTCACAAATAGTATGAAGGTCAATTTTAATATTGCAATAAGCCTTAGAAAAATTACACCAATTTGGAACCACACATCACATGCGAGTCATGTCCCTGAGACCCTGTGCTAGTTCCTAGTCATGTCAAATTCCACCCACATTTCTGCTGGCCTTCTTTCCCCTGCCATGTGCAGCTGGGCTATTTCATGCACTGAACTCATCAGCTGTCACCAGCAAGTTGAAGCTGGGTCTAGTCAGGCCAGTGTGTGGATGTTTGACCTCTGAGAAAACATCTAAGAGCTATATAGGAAAAGATGTTGCTGACATAATTCAGTCTACCCAGCCTAAGGTCATCCTGATGGTTACTTTCCAAATAAAGACAGAGACCAAGCTATAAAATGAAGTAGAGATAGAGCACGGATACTACATTACATATTGTATAATTCTTATTTTGTATTCACTAAGCAGGAATGCATTAAATAGATCTTTCTTTTCTAATAAATGTTCATCTTGAAGATGATTTTCGTGAGTTGATTCTTTAAATCTGTAAGTGCACACAAACACATGAGGAATTTTGCCTGAGTAAGGACTGTGGAATTACTTTGGGGGTCAACTTCCTGCCCCTTGGAATGCAGTGGGAACATTCCCACAATGTGAGGGGGCCTCTCCCAGGGCACTCATGCAGGAGGCATCTGCAGAGGTTTTATGCAGACATGCCTCCTCTCAAGATGCTATCAGCATCTCCAACAGCCAAAGTGCACTGTGCCCTCAGCAGGTCCCAATCAGATTCCACAAAACTTATTTGCAGCATAAGCAATGTGAGTGTGTGTGTGTGTGTGTGTGTGTGTTTACACAGCAAGGCAACATCAGACCTCTCACTGTGGGGACTGAAATCTAAACTTATATTAACTTGAGCTTACAGTCTTCCCATGGAGACGATGCATACTGAGAACAATATGATCATACTTTGAAACTTCTTCAAGGAGGTTGTTCTCAATTTCATTCGGTTCAGGGAAACCACAAGCTGACAAAGCAGCAAATGAAGCCAAATTCATTCATTCACTCAACCAATATTTGCAGGATGCCTACTGTGTGCCAGGTACTCTTCTTCTAAACACCAGAGAGGTAGCAGTGAACCAGAAAACCACACTCCTACAGTCTGCTGCTTCACTCTGAACTCTGAACATACTTTTCAGTTCAGATTTGAACACCAGACTGTGAGCTCCAGACCACACCCTTTCATTTACCATTATACACCAGCACCTAGAACAGAACCTGGGACATAGGTGGTGTGCCTATATTTATTGGATTAACACACATGAATAGGAATTTGACCCTGAATGCTTTAAAAGCTACACGATTAAAAAATAAATAAAAAATAAAAATAAATAAAAACTACACGAAACTCTTTGGAGACAAAGCATAATTTATCCACTATTTCGCCCAATCTGATGAGTGGGGATATGGCCTCAGCCTCCAGGAAGCTTACATTCTGGTAGAGAAACAGCAAAGGCCATAGCATAGAGGTGCAGAAGGGCTGAATATCTAAGAAACTACAAGTATTTTGATGTGACTGTAACAAGTGGGAGGATAGCAGGAGATGAAGCTGAAGAGATAGAAAAGGCATATAAGATCTAATGATTTTTTTATCCTGACAGTGATGAGGTAGGGGGTGAGGAGAAGGGTGGCAAAGATGGAACATAGACAGAGGAGCAATAGGATTAAATTTGTGATTTGAGCAGATCACTCTGGCTACAGAATAGAGGAGAGGCTGGAGGGAGTCAAGGTTGGTTAGGAAGCTAATACAGATGGCCAGGTGAGAATTGATGAGGCCTTGATTTAGGCAATGATTATGAGGAAGGATGGGGTGGTAATTTCATAAGCCATGAAAGTGTTATAGGAAGCCCAGTTGTTATGGAAGTGGAGTTCTTGGGGTGCCACAAGGAAAAGAATTTTCTGAGATCCCCATGGGAGGATGGGGTTTGGGGAAAGCTTTATTGAGAATGTAAAATTAAGGGGGGTCCCCTCCAAGGTCCCATCTCTGTCTGTCTAGCCATGGAAGAAGTCCAACGCTGTCTCCAGCAGGGCCAGAATTAAGCCCACTGTCTATAGTTTCTGCTCCATATTAAAGTACAGTCCAGTCCAGCATCTGGCTAGCTTAGCTTGTGTTCCCAGCTGTGGTTCATTGTGTGTGGGGTCCACATGGAGAGAATAGGCAAGCACACAGGCAAGTGCAGGTCACGGAGCAAGAGAGAAGGGGAGCAAGAGAGAACTCTCTGCCTGGGGATTTTTAACAAGGAGGTTCTTCAAACCAGCCAGTTAACTCTCCAAGATTTCCTATGCTTCTGATGGGGTCCACCCCCTCGCCAATCCATTGTTCCCCAGGCTACAGTTACAGGCAAAAACCTCCCCTGTGCCACCATGACTTCTACTGTGCATGTGCCTATCTCCCCCTAAAGCCCCCAACAATCCAGTACTGGAGGGGGGAACGGAGGAGTGTTAATCCCCTTGGAAGGACAGTGCTGTAGTTCCCTGGGTTGTGAAGCTGTGGCTTCCTGGTGAAACAAACAGGCTTATGCTTCCCAGTTGAATATGCTCAACAATGCCTGACTCTCCCTTTGATCTCTTCCTTTATTGATATTAACTAACTAATTACAACAATAACAGCTAGTTATTGGCCAGACCTTGTGATGGACTGTAAAGAGAGAAAGTGCCAGTTTCCCCTCTAAACTAAAAGATACGCTAGAGGGACGCTGTCCTACAGGAAGTATATGTACTTGGTGGCTGAATGGATAAGAGAGGAGGTGCGGCTCAGGTTTCTAGCTTGTGTATTTGCCATTATCCAGGGCAGAGAACTTTCACACAGATGCTCAGATGCTCTGTGGTCTGGTCCTGTCCTTGATCTTGCATTATACTGCCTTCCGCCCCCTATCACTTCCCAGTTCTGGGTCTTAACTCATACTGTTCCCTCTGCCTTATAATGCCCTCTCCTGTCTTCATCTCTTTAGGTAAAATCAATTTCAAATGTCACCTCTTCAAAAAAGTGTTAGATTCCCTCAACCTCAGATACTCTTTTTATCTAATTTCTTTGTATTTGCCTTAAGTCTCTTGTTTGGTTTGTGAATGCCTGGAGAGGGACAACTTTCCCTCATTCATCTTCCTATCTCCTCCAGCCTGGACCCTTGCCTGTGGTAGGACTCAATACATCTTTGTTGAATTGAAACAAAGAACCAATAAGATTACATACACATCTATGAAATGGGGATACTATTGCCACCTACTTCCTAGGGTGGTTATGAGGGCTTGGCACATAAGTGCTCAATAAATTATACCATCCGCACCATCATTTCTGAAAAGAGCAAGTTTCACTTATTCTTGGCCTAACCTAATACTAAGCCTCTGTCACCTTTTAATGACATTAAGGGACAAGGGCATTACTTTAGAAAGTCCTTGGAAACTGTCCACTGGAGTCAGTAAGTAGGGAACCACTATTCTGGCCCACTGGGGCATTACTTTACAAATCCCAGAGTTTCCTCTCTGGAGGTTTCTCTTGAATACTTTGGGTCTTTTCTTTTTGGTCATGGGGGAACAGTGCTCAGCTTTTCATCTCTGTGATTCTGGGAAATGAGGTGATTGGGAAGAATCCCACTCCAGCAGTTGCCTCTTCTCACCTCATCCCCTGCAGGCTGACTGCTGAAAAGGTCAGAAATAGAGCCTAAGACGTGGGAGCATGATATGGGTGATTTGGCCTGGCTGTTCCTCAAGGAGTGAGCAGGCAATTGTGACAGTCCTTGAGTTTTATTTTTATTTTTAAAATCTACTTTGAAGAATTTTGTGAGTCCCAAAGGAGCCCTCTTATGTAATTTTCTTCTTTTTCTTTAGAATTTCCTCTAAAACCCATTAGGGAGATTTAACATAGTCCAGAATTAGCACTTTAATGGGCTTTTGTTCCTGCCGTAATTTTTTCCCATTTTTAATTTCTCCTCTGATTTTTAATTAGCTATTTCTGGGATTATGAAGTTTGCAAACTCAACAGCAAAATTTCTGGAAAGACTTTTAATTGATGTGTGAGTTTATTATGTAATATCGTGGCCCTGCCTGAATCTGAAGGAAAGGGAAGATCTGTCCCAGACACTAATTCTTGTGCCCACAGATTGCTTTTGCCATGATGAACATTTAGGAGCACGGGACCTCTTTCATAAAATCACAAAGACCCTGAGTTTGAGAGTTGTTGTTTAGCACCATCTTGGTGTTTTTGTCTTTCCAGGAACCTCTGACAAGTCAAATCTGGAGCTGATCACTCTGACGTGCACCTGTGTGGCTGCAACCCTCTTCTGGCTCCTATTAACTCTCTTTATCCGAAAACTGAAAAGGGTAAGAACATTTCAGATAAATTCTGTGCTCCTTTTTACATACTATTCTAAAATGCTCACCTGATGTCTGAACCAGGCATTAAACAAATGTTAGACCCTCTTCTTCCCCTTACCTCCAGTTCCTACCTCTGACCTGGTGAACACTGGAAAATGAATCACTAGAATGTCTCTCCATCATAAAGTGGGGTATTCAAAAGAAAAGCTAGAGCAATGGACAGATGAATATTTCCCAGGAACAGAGAGGATATTTTTGATATAAAAATATGTAATAAAGTCTTTAAATTCAACATGAGACCTATGAAGCCTTATTCTCTGCTAAGAAACAAAAAGAAAAAAGAAAAAGAAAGGCCCATCTCTGACTCTCTCACAAAGACATGCAATGCTTTGCCCAACTCACTAAGCCCATGATCAGATTCAGTTCTTTAGCGGGGTTCAGGCTGGAATTCAGGACATCAGGTTTCTATAATTCTGCCTATAGCATGACTTGCTTCTTTGAAGTTTAATGGGGAAAGAGCCAACACTCATTCATTCATTTATGCCTCAAATATTTACTGTGTGCCTGCTCTATGCAGAGTGCCAAGCCAGTGGAGAGCAAATCTGCTGTGTGCAGTCTAGGGCCTTAATCAAGTACACAGACAAATACCAAGTATAACTATAGTGAGTTGACTAAAAAATGCATAAGAGGGGTGGTCAGGCAAAGAAGGAGGGGAAAGAGTTGCAGGCAGAGAGGAGCATGTATGAGGCTGGGGCAAGGCAGAGGGACACCATGACAATGAGTGGCTGACAGAAGGCCAGTGTGGTCACAGTGGGGGAAACAAGGCATGAAGTGCAGCAGGAGAGGAGAGGAAAGGCTGCGATGCCTGACCAGGCAGGGCTTTAGGCTATAGGAAGGAATTTAGTCTGTCTTCTAGAAGCAACAGGAAGTCTTGGGACAGGGAGAAGGGATGTGGAGCAAAGGTAGGCAATTATAAGTGTGAGAAATTTGTGTTTGCAAAGATTATTTTGGCTGCTGGGAGGAGAATGGGCCAGGTGGCACCTAGCAGAAGACTTGACAGTAGTCCAAGGTAGAAATGATGATAGCTCAGTCTAAATGATTAGAGCCAAGAGATATTTAGGAGGCAAAATCAAGAAAACTTGAGAAATGTGCCAAAGAAGCCCACTCAGTGTCTAGAAATTTTTTAGCCCTTATTAATGTACCACGCCTGCAGGAAGCTCTTTATGTAGCATCTCAGTTAATCCTTCAAAAAATGTAGAGGTAAATGTATTACTATTACCATTTTATAGAGAGGGAAACTGAGGCTCAGGGAATTAAAGCAACTTGTCCAAAGTCACTAGAGTTGCAGCTGAGTTCTGAAGCCAGGTTGTTTGACCTTAAGACTGGATATTCAAAACCAATAATGTGTACTTGACAGTGTTAGTATGAGAGGCAAGGCCAGCAGCCATCCTCTAAAATGAATATGCAACATTGGGTTTTTGCTATATGGCACGCCTGGTTGAGACAGGACAATTCAGGCCACCGCTTTAGAAGGAACAGGTCAAACAATCACATTTAGAACAGGAGACACATCATATTGGGAAAGGGATCTAACAAAAGAAAAACTTGCCAAATCTATGAGGGAGGTACGGAGACTATAGGAGTTCAAAAGAGGAGAGCGGGAGAAACAACTTCGGAGAAAGAAAAGTGTAGAGACAGACTTTAAAGGTCGTGGCTGGAAGCAAAGAAGCAGAAAAACACAGCACCCTTCCCCTCCTTCCCACTCCCCAGATTAGGGAAGGAGTCCAGCTACTTTGCCTATAGGAGCAGAGTGAAAATAACACTGGAAAGGGAACTTGGGGGACTAAATTGAGTGGGTCTCTTGTATTTCTAAAAAGATCTATGAAATTTTGATGTCAATAAGAAAGGATGAGAGCAAGTAAGAGAATGCCTATGAAATCTGATGAGTGATTGGTTGTGGAAGGCAAAAGGGAAAAGGCATCAAAAACTATCTCCACGTGGCTACTCTGGCAGTGCAAATTCCTCACTGATAGAGACTTAATGTTTTTATCTCCACCCTGCGTGTTATAATTACAGACAGCATTTATTGATGCTTAACTGTACACCAGGCCCTGTTTTAACAGCTTTACATGGATTATTTCATTTGATATTCACATCAACCCTATGAGATAAGAGCCACCATTATCACTATTTTACAGATAAGGGAGACTAGGCTTGGAAAGGTTAAGCAGTTTGCCCATTGTTATGTGCTAGTCAAAGTTGAGCTTGCTTCAGATCCAGGCATCAGCCTCAAAGTCTGGGCTCTGAAGCGCTTAGCTGTGCAATTTTCATGACAAGTACCTAGTAGCTGCTCAGTTTTAATGTCAATTAAAAGAGTAAATATTTGTCAGCTAAGATTCTACTATTATACTCTCCTCAAAGCCCTTACTTAAGATTTTTTGTGTGTTTTTCCCCTAGTGTTTCCTCTAATCTGCCTTATTGAGAAAAAACCATAAAATTCCACAGGTGCCACGTGGGGAGATTGTCTTCCATTGCCTGCTCCCCAGCATCTATCACACCACTGCCAACCCCTGCTAGCATCCTACAGAACTCAAGCTGTCCCCTGCCAGTCTCAGCAATCCTATGCTCTCTGAAGACTGGAGATTGCTTCTCATAGCCTTGGCTGTGTTGGACATTGAAAAGTTTAGTCATAAAACCGACTCCAGCAGCTTCTCTAAGGAACACCCCGCACCCTGTCATAGGAATTTTTACTCCTCTATGGTCTTACTGACTCGCCCAGTGTCTGACAGGCTGGGCCCGTGCAGTCTAACACCAGGGGCAAATGCAGTCTGTGACAAACGTGCTCCCTATCTTTCTGTTATCCATTCTTTATGGAGGCCAGGCAAATCTTTCTGCCTTGAGCTATTTGTCACACATTTTAGTGATAATTTTTGTGAGAAAGAGACTGATTGCAAGTGATGGATGAGGTGAGTTGTGACAGCCCAGAACAGGGTGAGTAAGGGCTGAAGAATGTGGGTGGGTGTGAAATGGTGAGTATGGAGAGGTTGTCTTCTCTACTGAACTCTGATCTGGTTGAGGGAAAGGCACTGACAGGAAGGACCCTAAAACTCATTTAAATGAAGTTTACATAACTCTGGCAAGAGTTATCAAAACCCACCTTATATGGGTAACATACTTCCTTTCTGTCCTGCCCACAGAGATGCAGTCAATTCTACAATTAACTAACAGGAAATACACCCATGGAAATGAATCTAGACACTAAATGTAAATCCAGTTATTTATGATCTGAAATAAAGGGTATTTTCTGGGCTAGATTTGCATTACTAAGATAAAACAAGCACTTAAAGGCAGATGTCGGCCTATGGTCAGGAACTTGGAAGGAATGTTGCTATGTGTCTTACTCCTTGGTGTTTGAAATAATGAACTTCTATTTCTTACTGAAGGCAAATCCTATTCTGCTCTTACTGATGGACTCTATAGACTTTTCAGGCAGCCGCAGTAGCTAAGTGGCCAGGCATTCTGAGTATATTTAAACACTTCATATGAAATGTGCCTCTAGGCTGTCCCAGGAAGGGACCCTGTGCTTTCTTTGCCACATCTGGCCTTTCTTACAAATGTAGAAAAGCCACAATCATGGGCCCCACTGTCAGCCCATCTGTAATATGTGTTCTTGCTTACACAGAATGGCCATGGAAAGCTATTTTTAGTCATTGTGTGGAGTGATTTTATTTAAATGCTTTCCATTTTTTAGAGGACTATCATATTCTAATTGTTTAAGAATAAGCAATAAGGTTGCTGGAGAATCTGAGGGCATTTTATCTGTAATGGTACTACAGCAATGGAGGGCTGGAACAGCAAGGGCTGTTTCATAGACATCGTATGCTCAAGTGTGATGTGCACATGTGTATGCCAAGGGGTACTTTTCTGTACCCAACCATATGGTTTTAACCAAATGAACCAAAATAGCAGCAGATAGTGTTTTAATTGGATATCAGGGGGTTTTAAAGTTGTTTCTTCATTGATGACTTTGAGATATCTTTCTTTCTCAGTCTTCTTCTGAAATAAAGACTGACTACCTATCAATTATAATGGACCCAGACGAAGTTCCCCTGGATGAGCAGTGTGAGCGGCTCCCATATGATGCCAGCAAGTGGGAGTTTGCTCGGGAGAGACTTAAACTGGGTAATGTATTTGTTCAACAGGTTCCTAAACTCATACTGAGCACCTACTACATACAAAAGACTGTGTTGAAGAATGCAAAAGTAGGCTAGACTCAGGATTCCACCCTCTGGCAGTTCACAGCCGAGCAAGGGAGATGTACACAGAGGTGTATGAGTCTGTGAGAATGCTGACAGGACAGTTCAGGGACAAGGAGCACCTGTTCATTCTTCCAACAGTTACCAAGCCCTTCTCTGAGCAGGAGACACAAAGGTATTTAAGTCTCTTCCCTCTAAGGAAATCGCCTTAAAAATAGGTAAGTGAAGGGAAAGGAGAGATTAGTTCCATCAGGAGCCTTACAAGTACAGGCACTCTTAAATAATGACATTTTTGAGTTAGAAATTTATGACCTGGAACACAATTCAGGATGATGAGGAACAGTAAAATCACTCGGTGAAAGAGCTAGTACTCTTCGAGGTTGTGAATCAAACACTGCTCCGCACAGATCCACCAATTATATACTTTCAATTTCCCTGGGTATTCAAAATGTCCAGACAGAGAAGAAAATTCTAGGGGGTCACTTAAGTTTCACTTTTGAAGAGCAAGGACTGTTATTTTCCAGGTAATACAGATGCTGTAAACACCAGGCAAATGTGCTTTCCCTCAGCTTACCCCCAAGTTCCTCTAGCTTAGACATCACAGTGAAAACTAATTTCCAGTCCAGTTGTTACAAAACAATGAGAGCCTCAACTACTCCCACCCAAAATACTTAGACTGTGGTGTCTGAAAGTTTTCTACTCACTGCTATGTGTGCCAGGGTAGCTGGAACTAGGAAAAGAGATCATGCATCCAGTGTTCCCAGAGCTTGTCACTCTGGGTATAAAGAGCCTGTTAGTCCAAATTCAACGGCACCGCTTCCTCTTCCCCCATCCCCAGACTATACGGATGAAGGTGGAGGTGTGAGGTGACAAGAGGGAAAAATGGCTTTTCTCATTGTCTTGGGCCTTAAAATGATTCCACTTACATTTCTTCCTACATGAGAAAGAGTACTTGGCCCCAAGAGTATGTTCTGTTTGGCTTGGGAAAGAAAATTAGAAATCAGTAAAAAGCTGGAGACACAGATAAAGCCAATAATGGCTGCTGACAGAAAAAAGAAATCAACCAAATTTAGAGTAGTTAAGGGCAGGTGGCACACTAGATGAGTTCCTTCTGCAAGTCTATATATGGCAGCTAGCCCAGCCCCTTCAGCGACCTTGGCACGGAATATGGGATAATTTTCCCACAACCATAAGCCATTCTCAGGCCACATTGCTTTCCAGAGTTATTAGTCACAATCAAATATGCTCTTTCCAGGGTATGACACATGAGCTTTCCTCCCATTTCTTCATTCCTTGGCCTAGTGTCACTGTGATCCATAACTCATCGAGGGAGATTGCCAATCCTTCTACCGGAATTCCCCTGGGGCTCTGTGGGTTTAGATAATCCCATTTCAGGAGATTCTCCCCGTTGAAGATCTTTCTCATGGTTCTTTTCCTTCCCAGTTGCCAGATGCTATGATTTGGCTAGTGTACATGTGAGTGTCTTTGATGGGTAAGAGGAAGTGTATAGCTAGTCAGCTAACAGTCTCAATGCAGAGTGTGGCTGCAAGAGCCAGAGAAATGCTCCTCCTACTAACTTGGGAGCAAAGAGGCCCAAGGTGTCTTTGTTTTTTAGCCAAATAAATGACAAAAAGAAATCTGAAGCAGTGCCTGGCAAGTGAAAGTAACCAAGATTATGTCTGGATGGATGGAAAAAGGCAGGTTTGATGGGCAGAGTTACAGAGGGGTTATAAATGTAGAGAAAAGCACAGACCAAGCTGCTTCTGATCTCAGCTGTCTGCACTCTGTGGGTTTCTCTCAGCCTTGGTGAGAGAAGTCAGGTTTACAGTACCTGATAGATACAATTGGAGTCTGGGTTAAAGGTGTTGCTACCATTGAAATTCCTGAAATCCAATACCTAAAGAAACCTATTTTGTTAGTGATTCCTCATTAAACCTCAGAGAGAATTCCCCTCCTATAAATTTATAAATGTACGACATTGCACCTTTGGAAAATAAAGTCATAATTAGTGAATATGGGAAATAACATAGGGAGTCTGGAAATTGGCAGGTGGATGGTGCCTGGGGCTGGTACTGCCCCTTTGTAAGACTGGCCCTGGGTGCCAGAGCAGGGCTCGGCCGCATGCTGCCATGCACTGTCCCTAGAGCATCCCAGGGACCCGGGCCAGTCGTTGTTGGGAGAAATTCCAATATCCTTTCATTGTATGACAGTGACCTAGCACTTTTCCAAGCTAGTGTGTGGCCTTTAGGTAACACCAAGGAAGATTTTAAGGGGAAAGGAGGATCAAGCCAGGTTAAGTCCTCTGTGACTGGGCTCCCCGGAACTGGAACTGTGGGTCTGCAGAAGGACTCCAGTGCCTCAGATGATTCAAAAGCCCATGCTAATTTCATGCTGTTTTGTGAGGCAGCAGTCAGCTTCCAAGAGAATAAAGGAAAAGACCGAGGGAAGCTAAGTGAGAATGAATGGATTATCGCTGATAGAAGCAAAGTCCCCAAACACTGGTTATAACAAAGTGTGTTGTGATGGCTAAGAAGGGAATGCATGGGGACTCAAGTGCTGAAAGAAAACGATTCCATCTGCCCCAAACAAGCGAGAGTCTGCAGTATGTGGAGAGGTGTCCCAAAACAGAGATTATCTTACTATTTCTCAGGCTCAGGACACTTTTCATATTAGATGGTAGAAGGCACTTCAAAAGCAAAATGTCATTCTTTTACTCTAAAAAAGCAAGGAATAGTCTGCGACCAAATGCATCATCTTTCACACGTCTGGAGAAGGTATCTGCCAGTGCCCTTTCCATACATGATCTCCACATCCAGCACCTTCAGGGGCCACTCAAGGCTCTTCTATTTAAACCAACATTCCCCATGCTGGTCTATATCTTGGACAATTTAATCTGAAGGAAGCACTGACTACATTGCACCCCGTGGCGTGTGCTCTGGTAGGAACAATCTTGGTCAGTCACTACAGGTACATGTGTGACCACAGGAAAGGCATATGATGTCACCAGTGTTCCCCTCCTGATGCAGAGTGCATCCCCATAAGATAGATGCAGAGAACACTACAGAGAGGCTCGTATGATTCTGTTGGTAACTGAACTCTTCCCATGTCCTAACTGGATGCCTAGTGGGGTTGGTAATGGAAGATATGAAGCAGAGGCAGGGTGAAGACATCTTTGTTACTGAGTAGTTGTGCATGAAAGTATAAACGTTCTAATATGATGAAGAAGCAGAAAAGCATGGATATAAACTTTACAAGAATCTTAAAAAAACATCAAACAACTATATCCTTTGGGGGAAGGGATTGGAGTATGAGGGAGG